GAAAGTTGCAACAAAGAAAAATAAAAAATAAAATTGCGAGGAAAAAATTGTACCAAACCGTGCGTGGGAATTCTCGGCATTTTATTCAAATGTTCCACTTTTCCCTCGTGTTTGCAGGTTCAAATGCCGCAAAGCACGCCTTAAATTCGGACGTGTCAATGCGTGCCAAAATCGTTTGCTCAAATTATACTTTTTCTGTACCCTAAAATTTCTCATGTTGCTGCCCATTTATTGTTTGTAAATCTTTGATTTGTTAAAACCACCAACGGGAACATCGCGAGGAACCTGGTACACAATGCCGGCGAACTTCCCCCAACTTTGCAGGCAACTGTCATTCCCGCATGGACCTACGGGCCCCCAACCGCCAGGAAAAGTCACCCCAACTTCTTCGCCCATGGTAAACGCAGCACGAAAATGTAAATACTTAAAAAAAAACAAAGTTACAAAACACCACCAGAACGCAAGTCACCCCAATGGTTTCAAACGAGGAAAAAAACATCACCAAAATGATGTATATCGATATCAAAACACCATGTAAACGCATTATTCGCGCACATTTTGGTAAAACATGTTTTGTTCCAGCAAGCATCTAATCTCAATGTTCAAAACAATATATACATCCAAAAGATGTCGCTTTGCGAGTTGAAAACGCAATGTGAACGCATGATTCATGAATGTTTTGGTAAGGCGGGTTTTGGTTCAAAAAGAACCTGAAACCACAATGTGAAAACGTAATGTATGTATGATTTGGTGAGGTATCCGTTTTCTTTTTTGATCTACAAACGCATTTAATCCAAATGCAACTACTCTACAATGGTTCCCCCCCTCGGCAGGGCGACTTGTAAACACGGGACTGGATTTGCTCGACGGTCACATGAATGAACCAGGCATGACAAAACAATAAGTTCACCCGTGTAAACACAAGCTAAATGAAACTAGGAATTATTTCTAAAGCATCGTTTCTATCTCACGCAACTGATACACAGCAACTAAACGCATGTTGGGGTGACTTTTCCAGGAAGTTTTGTTTCCCCCAACTAAACGCAAGATTTTGGATCCGGCGGGGTAAGTTCATTACAAGCAATTAACTACTAACTTATTCGGTTGCTACATTTTTGATTGAATTTCATTGGAACTTTTGTGGCAATAGTGAATTACTTTCTCCGGAAAACCAATTTTGATGTCATTATCATGGTAAAGATAAAATGCCATATACCAGTATCGCTTAAACATCATGTTTGAATTTAAACATTACTTTTCGCTGAAACCATGTTTTTGCCCCGGCCAAAACAAATGGAAGGACTGGGCAACCACTACCAATGTTTCCGCAGAGGCCTAGAACGCAAAAGCTGCCACTATTTCGTCAGTTGCAAAAATTTATGCAACTTTCGTTAGTGCTCTGTTTTTTTTTCGACTCAAAGTCGGGGGTTCAGGGTATGGCTAGAGAGTGTCCTTCAATATCAGGCAAACACGTTTTTGCATGTTTTTGCGACTTGGTTCGCCAGGAAGTGGACTGGAAACTCGCTCTTCCCCGCATTTGTTGGTTGGCGTATGTTGGCATCAAATGCCAAACTTTATTGCAACAACTCCCCTCTATAAAATCAAGTTCAACTACCCGGGTTCCCCTGGAGTTGTCATTATTCACATGTCGGTTTGCAAATCGCTTACCACTGGTTTTTTTATAAAACCATAAGCTTGTTTTTCGTAACTGTCAAAATAATTTGTAACCATAAATTCCAAAAAATATATATAGTTTAACAATCCCCACGTACCCACATTTTAACGGAAATATCAACCGGGATGTTTTTTTTCCGGGTTAAGTTGGCTGCTGGGGATGCAAGTGTGTGCGCATCGGCATGCCCATGAGGAACGAAATTTGTTTCGAAACTCGTGGTTTTTTCCATGACCAATTTCTGTAGTCAACCCAGGGAATGACAGAAAACTGAAGGTTGTAGTACAGGGCCTAAAGTTCACGACTGGTTTTTGAAGATATTGACCTAAACGTCCACTGTTTCAATTCACGTCCAGAAAAACTAGCACACTAATGGTGTGGCAGAAATTCGTGATTCTTTGAGGACCTTGATCTAAGTAAATACAATTGTTTTTTACCCAGTGGCAAAAATAAATGTCGCAAATAGGTTCATTGGTGCCAGAAACATTTCATTTTCCCATGTTTTTTGCTACGATGGTGTTCAAAAAAATGTAAAAATACCATCACAATACCGATTGTTTGACACCAAAAAATGTAGAAATAATGATATTTACGATAGTTTACGATTGTTTTGTGGGATAAAAACGCAGAAACTGTGCGATAAAAATGTTCTTTTGCACAAACATCCAACCCTTGCAGCACAGCATCACCGGTGGGCGAAACTCGAAAAATTAGATGCACAAGATTTGTGTACGAGGATCTTGTCAGGAAAGTTGCAATGTCGGTATGCAGGGATCTCTTGGGAAAACGTGCATGGTCTGCAAACTTTAGGCGAGGACCCCTGAAAGGGACTTCAGACGATCCCTTAACACAAGCGTTTCTTGCAGGAAACCAAAAAGGCTTCTGTACAAGGACCCTTGCCATCAATGCAACGAGTTTTTCTACAACAAATGTTCACAAGAACCTGGAATTCACCAACTCCTAACATGTCTGCACGGGGCGTTGTTGAACGAAATCACAAATGATATTAGCACACTTTACACTTTCTTTTTGTGGAACACACGGGATCTTTGCACAAGGACGCGCGTAAAACAATTCGGAAAACGGTTGTACAAGAGCCAAGATGTTGCCAAGAATTCGCAATCCGCACAACGATTTGTCAGCGAACCCATGGGACCATAAAATCTGCCAAAAGTTGTCAAGTCTGCCACAAGGACCTCCAAAGAACCCTCGTCAAAAAAACACTGCATCCGCCACAAAAGAGCGGATGAAAAAGTGACCGAAGTCTTACCCCTGTCACGCACGCCGCGATTCTGAAAACGGCAATGGCGCACTGGTAAAACAAACATTTGCATCAGAACAAATTCGTGTCCCCAACCATATTCCACAAGGGGAGCTAAGCCAGTGCCTTTTGTTATTGTGTTTGCTTTGGAACCACACCGGTGGCAGGGGCGAACTCTTTCAGGCATCCGAGATGAGCGCAATTCTCATTGTTTTACGACCGACTGCATCGGTTTTAACTGATTTCGCTGTGCTGGCCAGCATTTTCGACTGAAGGTCTGCTTTAAAAAAAAAAGAACAAAGAAATTCGCCTAGCACGTTTTAAGAGCATCGTATCGTTATTCCATCCGCACGTCGCTGTGGGATCAAGGTTTATCATGTTTTGTCCAAATTTGGGGAGGCAAGCTTCACCTTCTCCATTCTTGGAGGGCTCACTGGGAGTTTCCTTGCAGGTGGTTGTGCCATTCTGTGCCTTCATGTATGTTTTGTTCGTCTCTCAATTCGTTTGATAATTTTGATATTGATTTTCTTCGCTCTTCCGGGTTGTCTTAACACACTCTTAGCATGTTCTGTTCTGGATGCTTAGAAGTTTCGTGGCAATCTTAGGGGGTCTCCCGGTGCATGTAGCTTTGTATCCATCTTGTGCTGCTGTCTATGGGTCATGTCATCTGCCACAGTTAATGAACAGCTGCTCTACTGGAAACGCAGTCGTGCAGGTTGTTTTCCAGAATCATTCATCAGCAAAGCACTTCATTTCGCGTCAAAGCGTGCATACTTACATACCAACAGTGTGATTCATTTGTTGTCATACAACCAATACACTATCCATGTGCAGAGATTGCAGACATTGCTTGCTTCCGACTCGACAAGAAGATATACAATGAACTGTTGAGTTAAAATGATGCATCCTGACTCTCCCTGACTACAACTTCATGTCCTAAAAAATGAAGCACACTCTGAAAGCGCCATCTGTTTTAGGCTTTTTAGGCTCCATGGATCTCCATAAGCTGTCCTTGTCTCTTCCAATGCAATCTGTGTTCTGATGAGTTTGGTTTATGTGGACTTTGACCAACGCATTGTAAACGCGGGCAAGCGCCACTTGGCGGAACCACTCGTCGTTTAAGCAAGTCTCACCAACAAAACTCGAATTAACATAAACGAATGGCATGCTGGTGTTTGCGCTGGACTCGCTTCTGAACACGGTGTAGAAAGAAAATACGCAAACGAAATGTGTGTCTTAGACTCTTCGACACATAAACGCCTTTAGAACAGCTGATCCCAGGGATGCCGGTGCAGACTGGAACAAACAGGATTACTGACGCCAGCAATGTTGGAGAGAAGCTATCTTTCCACGACATGACCGGCGTCTGGACCATTGGATCTTCGGGATTGACCCATGCCAAGGCTGCCAAGATTCCATAGAAATTATGTTTGCCTCTTGGATATGGCAAAAGTGTGCAAAAGTGTAAGCGGAGCACAAGAGCAACTGCAAGAAAAGCTGAAAGAAAGCAAAGTGACCTATGAATGCTGAACACCAGTCTTTGCACTTTATCCAGGACATGTGTAGCAAGTGGGGAGAAAGGTAGCGTGGGTCACTGTCTGGACGGAAACTGGAAGGAGTCAAGCTGCACCAAACATTGGAATCAAACTGGCGATCTGCGCCGGCTCCAAGCGACGAACAGAGCATCACCCCTTCTGCAAGTCGCAAAAGTTGCGTGAGTGCACGGGGTAGCTTTGAAACATTGCGAAACGCAAGTCGTTGTGTGCTGGAAGTAATTCCTTCGAAGTAGGGAGGATTATGATTTCGGACTGTATAGCACTAAATGGCAAACGTCAAAATTCTCAAGCAAAGGCTGACTAAGTGGCACGAAAGGGTGGGTGGGTCAAGCCAGGATGTTTGTGGGATAACTGGGAAGCTAACATGTCGCTGGACGCACACCTACCCAATGATCCAGCATTGCACAGTCGTGCATTTGCGCGGAGGACCAAACACGGCATCATGATACTTCAGAAGTCAAACTCCGCAAGCAAAGCCAGCACACTGACCACTTAAAGGGCCGGCTTCTTCTTACATATGTACTGTACAGATCGCAAGCCACCGCCAGTTCCGCACTGCAAACCGGATCCGCACTAAGAACGAGCTAACCTTTGGCGTGTTTGACAGTTGGACTGCGTTGCAACCTGCATAAGGGTCGCTGGAGCAGCAAGGTGCTGGCTCCTTTTCGTCGCGGTAACAACGTGTTTTCCCACGTACTGGGCTACGCCAGCGCGTTGATGGGTTTCTCAACAGCCATTCCTCACAGCACACTCTTTTTCCTGGAAGTGCATCACTCAGCTGCCACGAGCCGCAATAGTGGGTCCTGCGCACTGCATGCTGTCATGCTGTCATGCTGTCGGTTGTCTCTCCAAGATTGGGGATGCAGGGCAGCTTGTGAGCTTTGGCCTAAATGATCATAAAACATCAGTTTGATGGTCTCCATATCTGCCTCCTGGATTGTGATGGTAGTCAGGGAAGCAAACAACCAGTGTACGGAACATCTTCAATGGCGGCGAGACCCAAACATCTCCACTGAGACTGGGCAAAACGACCCAGTAGCTCCTGCCAGTCGTTGGAATGTCTTGGCACCTTACAGGATTTGCTCAAGTTGGGGAATGCAATTCAAGGGTGGAATACTTCGTCTTAATCAGGTTGTTCAAGTCTGCTGCATCACGTACTAGCCTAGAAAAACAAGCCTTCATGGACATAGATGTGTGACATAGATAAGAAATCAAAACCCATCCGCTTTCAAGAGGAACAAAACAAATGGTACATGAGTACACTCATCTTCCGACCTGGTGCCTAAATAAGATTAAATAACAATAGCCTTCAAAGCAAATGCCCGAATCGTTTTTACACTCATCTGAGCAAATCACCATCGCATCCAACACGGTTTGCAATAGCCCTGACCATCGTCGCTCCGCCACCTCGCGAGTTCTCGGGTGAGCCAACCGAGACTGTTCAAAAATTGATCCTAAAATAGAGATAAAGCATTGATAAAGCAACCCAACGGGGTTCCAACGGGGTTCGGAGGCTGAGTCTCCCAACTTTTCACACTCAGAACTGATGGCCAGCATGCCATCTTAATCCAAATCTGCACCCACCATGGCGCACCTGAGCCTCTGCCAACGCACCTCCGGACGGCCACAAGACGCGCAGTGGCTGGCCTCTGGCAGCGCCATCTCAGCCAGAGCCTGGTGCCCCAGGTGGCACAACTGAGTACAGCTCAACATCATCTACCAGGCTACCACCAAAAACTTGGTGTTTTAATCCTAAAGGTTTTTGTGGGTCCATTGTGAAAACCATGCTTGAGCCACAGCCAACTGCTCCTGTGGCTTACAACTTGTCCGATCCCAGGTTGCCTCCGCTTCTTGCAAGAGATGCCGAATGGCCTCAGACTGGAAACAGGCTGTGCAAATTGAACGGCACCCCTCTCCACACTGCTACCACAGCTTGAGATAAGCATCTACGTTCAATCATCCTTTGTAACTCCCTCAACTGGAAACATGTGTAAGAACATTGGCGCACAAGAATCCACACCGCTCTTTCAGCTTTCATGCTATATTCCGCAGCGAAACAAGTTTTACGGATACGACAAACACAACAGCAAGTGCCACTGGATCTTGGTTCTTGCAGCTTCAAGTTCATACAAACCAGTTCTCCCTTACATGCAATGAGCAATGCAACTGGCAAAGTCACCTCAGACTCAAAGATTAAGCAGTCAACAGGTAACGCTGCTGCCACAGCTTCGGATATATGCTTGTCATTTTCTATAATCCTTGGTGGACTGCTGCACTTGAGCAACTACAAAGAACTTTTTCCACATGCACAGCATACCACAAACTGCAAGCATCTCACACAGTCCAGCAGTGCACGTGACTGGCAAAGACAGGCCAAACACAACAGCAAGGCCCACTCAACAGTCAAAAGCGGTTTTTGCAAGAGATGGATCTCAATGGCCTTAAGTGCCACTGGATCTTGGTTCTTGCAGCTTCAAGTTCATACAAGCCAGCGTTCTCACCATTCATGCAATCGGCAATGCAACTGGCAAAGTCACCTCAGACTCAAAGATTAAGCAGTCAACAGGTAACGCTGCTGCCACAGCTTCGGATATATGCTTGTCATGTTCTAAAATCCTTGGTGGACTGCTGCACTTGAGCAACTACAAAGAACTTTTTCCACATGCACAGCATACCACAAACTGCAAGCATCTCACACAGTCCAGCAGTGCACGTGACTGGCAAAGACAGGCCAAACACAACAGCAAGGCCCACTCAACAGTCAAAAGCGGTTTTTGCAAGAGATGGATCTCAATGGCCTTAAGTGCCACTGGATCTTGGTTCTTGCAGCTTCAAGTTCATACAAACCAGCGTTCTCCCATTCATGCAATCGGCAATGCAACTGGCAAAGTCACCTCAGCCTATCTCAGATTTGGCTCTCCACATGGGATGCTGCTACCACAGCTTGAGATAAGCATCTACTTTCAATCATCCTTGGCAACTCCCTCACACCTAAAAAAACATATGTGTAAGAACCGATAAGAACCGTAAGAACGAACATTGGTGGATTAAAACCGCTCCTTCAGCTTGCATGCAATATTTGGCAGCAGAAGAACTTTTCCAGAAGGAAAAACACAACAGCAAGGCCCACTCAACAGTCAAAAGCGGTTTTTGCAAGAGATGGATCTCAATGGCCTTAAGTGCCACTGGATCTTGGTTCTTGCAGCTTCAAGTTCATACAAGCCAGCGTTCTCACCATTCATGCAATCGGCAATGCAACTGGCAAAGTCACCTCAGACTCAAAGATTAAGCAGTCAACAGGTAACGCTGCTGCCACAGCTTCGGATATATGCTTGTCATGTTCTAAAATCCTTGGTGGACTGCTGCACTTGAGCAACTACAAAGAACTTTTTCCACATGCACAGCATACCACAAACTGCAAGCATCTCACACAGTCCAGCAGTGCACGTGACTGGCAAAGACAGGCCAAACACAACAGCAAGGCCCACTCAACAGTCAAAAGCGGTTTTTGCAAGAGATGGATCTCAATGGCCTTAAGTGCCACTGGATCTTGGTTCTTGCAGCTTCAAGTTCATACAAACCAGCGTTCTCCCATTCATGCAATCGGCAATGCAACTGGCAAAGTCACCTCAGACTCAAAGATTAAGCAGTCAACAGGTAACGCTGCTGCCACAGCTTCGGATATATGCTTGTCATGTTCTAAAATCCTTGGTGGACTGCTGCACTTGAGCAACTGCAAAGAACTTTTTCCACATGCACAGCATACCACAAACTGCAAGCATCTCACACAGTCCAGCAGTGCACGTGACTGGCAAAGACAGGCCAAACACAACAGCAAGGCCCACTCAACAGTCAAAAGCGGTTTTTGCAAGAGATGGATCTCAATGGCCTTAAGTGCCACTGGATCTTGGTTCTTGCAGCTTCAAGTTCATACAAACCAGCGTTCTCCCATTCATGCAATCGGCAATGCAACTGGCAAAGTCACCTCAGCCTATCTCAGATTTGGCTCTCCACATGGGATGCTGCTACCACAGCTTGAGATAAGCATCTACTTTCAATCATCCTTGGCAACTCCCTCACACCTAAAAAAACATATGTGTAAGAACCGATAAGAACCGTAAGAACGAACATTGGTGGATTAAAACCGCTCCTTCAGCTTGCATGCAATATTTGGCAGCAGAAGAACTTTTCCAGAAGGAAAAACACAACAGCAAGGCCCACTCAACAGTCAAAAGCGGTTTTTGCAAGAGATGGATCTCAATGGCCTTAAGTGCCACTGGATCTTGGTTCTTGCAGCTTCAAGTTCATACAAGCCAGCGTTCTCACCATTCATGCAATCGGCAATGCAACTGGCAAAGTCACCTCAGACTCAAAGATTAAGCAGTCAACAGGTAACGCTGCTGCCACAGCTTCGGATATATGCTTGTCATGTTCTAAAATCCTTGGTGGACTGCTGCACTTGAGCAACTACAAAGAACTTTTTCCACATGCACAGCATACCACAAACTGCAAGCATCTCACACAGTCCAGCAGTGCACGTGACTGGCAAAGACAGGCCAAACACAACAGCAAGGCCCACTCAACAGTCAAAAGCGGTTTTTGCAAGAGATGGATCTCAATGGCCTTAAGTGCCACTGGATCTTGGTTCTTGCAGCTTCAAGTTCATACAAACCAGCGTTCTCCCATTCATGCAATCGGCAATGCAACTGGCAAAGTCACCTCAGCCTATCTCAGATTTGGCTCTCCACATGGGATGCTGCTACCACAGCTTGAGATAAGCATCTACTTTCAATCATCCTTGGCAACTCCCTCACACCTAAAAAAACATATGTGTAAGAACCGATAAGAACCGTAAGAACGAACATTGGTGGATTAAAACCGCTCCTTCAGCTTGCATGCAATATTTGGCAGCAGAAGAACTTTTCCAGAAGGAAAAACACAACAGCAAGGCCCACTCAACAGTCAAAAGCGGTTTTTGCAAGAGATGGATCTCAATGGCCTTAAGTGCCACTGGATCTTGGTTCTTGCAGCTTCAAGTTCATACAAGCCAGCGTTCTCACCATTCATGCAATCGGCAATGCAACTGGCAAAGTCACCTCAGACTCAAAGATTAAGCAGTCAACAGGTAACGCTGCTGCCACAGCTTCGGATATATGCTTGTCATGTTCTAAAATCCTTGGTGGACTGCTGCACTTGAGCAACTGCAAAGAACTTTTTCCACATGCACAGCATACCACAAACTGCAAGCATCTCACACAGTCCAGCAGTGCACGTGACTGGCAAAGACAGGCCAAACACAACAGCAAGGCCCACTCAACAGTCAAAAGCGGTTTTTGCAAGAGATGGATCTCAATGGCCTTAAGTGCCACTGGATCTTGGTTCTTGCAGCTTCAAGTTCATACAAACCAGCGTTCTCCCATTCATGCAATCGGCAATGCAACTGGCAAAGTCACCTCAGACTCAAAGATTAAGCAGTCAACAGGTAACGCTGCTGCCACAGCTTCGGATATATGCTTGTCATGTTCTAAAATCCTTGGTGGACTGCTGCACTTGAGCAACTGCAAAGAACTTTTTCCACATGCACAGCATACCACAAACTGCAAGCATCTCTCACAGTCCATCAAAAAAAACGAGCTCTGGTAATGTGTTCAAATGAAGTGCAAAGACTTCTTGGGGAGTGGATGAAACTGTCAGTGTTCAACTGCTGTTCTAAACGATGAAACTGACCTTCTGTATTGACCGTGTACCAGGGATCGGAGCCTCTAATCTTTGCTTCTGAGGCTCCGAAGAGAGGTTTTCCTGGTATGCTTAGGTCCAACCACTGGATGCGCCTGAGGCACCTACCTTTAACTCTGGAGGGCTCCACTTCTCATTCCCAGCTCGAATGCCTCTGGAATTCTATCTTGACGCTGGGGAAAAAAGCCAGTCCCAAGTCCCTGATTTTGGCGAGGGATGACAGGTGGTTTGTGAAGCCGCGTCTAGATCTAGTACATTGTCAGTCTGCACAACGAACCAACCAGTCAAAACAGGCAGCAAACCAGAGCACCTTCAATTGCAGAAGCCAGCCTCAGGCACTTCGGCATCTGAGTTCTCGATTCAGCATACCATTCAATTCGATTCAATCCGATTCATTCCACATTTTGCTTCTACATCATTTGGAACCATTCAGCAGGATCTCCCAGTCATCCCAACTTCCCAACCCCTCTGCCACCACACCGGTGGATCTTCTCTGAGAGATCTGTGCCTGGACTCCAAGACTCTGAGGGGTGCTTGATGGTGGTTGCAGGATATCATTAGACTCACTTTCTGGATCTTTCTGGTAGGTTTATCACTGGGCTTCCCACATTAATCACTGTAAGAAAGTGTAATTAGAAACTCCACAAAGCAAACTCAATCTGAAAAATGTCAAAGCAGGGAGATTCACGTACTGTCCATTCATGTCAGGCGCGGACTTTCCGCGGTCCCTGGGGGTTCCAAGGTTTGCTGGGCGCGAACCTGTCCAGGCAGTAACCAGCTACCCATTATGGCAACTGTTGGTGCAAGAAAGATCCATGAAGACTACAGGTACATAAATAGGTAAATAGGTAGACAGATTAACAGACAAACAAATACATAGATAGATGTACAGCAATCATGAACCAAAACGGATCAGAGCTGTTTTGAAAATATGTAAACCCCTGGAACTGAAGTTTGACAGCTTTGGTGACTGGGTCACCAATGGCGACTTCTGTGGCGCCTGCTGCCGCACCGATTTTAGCAAGGCCACTTTGTCCTTTGCCACAACCAATCAAAATTATCCGGTTCAAGGCAAAGTTTTGCAACTTCATTGACCAAGAACAAGGATACTCTGGTCTTTCTAAACCTGTCGTTACATCAACACAGCAGGTCCTGTGTGTTGACAGCGTGATGGAAAGCAGCATTGCGGACCTGCGAGGCTGTCTCTCAGATGAAACTTTGTCTCTAACACTCGCAAAAGGACTCTCATGTTCAGCCAATTTTGATGCATAAGTTGACCAGCCTAGCGTCCAAGCCAAGATGAAACAGAAAGCATCTGGAAAGAAGGACCAGGCAAAGGTCATCGCACAAGTCTATGAAAAATCTAAGTGTATATGCCTCCTTGTCGGTAGTAGGAGTGCCCCAAATGCATTGGTAGTCCGGAATTGTAGCCTGAATACAAACTTGAGAACTCACCAGCAACAAATCATCTCCCTGAAATGTCTGAGAGTCTACTGGAAGGAAGTTGGCCATCAAAATCCGAAGGTCCAAGGGTCCCAAGGGTCCTACCCATCGGACTTCAAAGGCCCCTTCCTGGCGCTCCGGTCTGATTTGGATTCTGGAGTCGTGGAATCCGTTGGACGGTGAATCTATCCACAGATTCCTGCAGTGGAGCACTGAATGGCTCCTGGGGGAATACACCAAGACGATGTTGCAGTCCGCGGTTCAAGTGGAATTGGTCCTCTCAAGGCGAGAAAAATCAATCCCAAAGGAAATGAATTTGAAAGAATCGTATTGAAATTCGCGCTAGATCTGACATCAGCAAGCTTGATTCCATTGGGTGCCTTTTTTATTGCCCTCTGTCTGTTTGTGTCAAAGCTTAGCTGTTGGCGGTGTATGGAGGAAAGCCATCCATCTTTGGGAAGGCCTGCCAAAACACGTCAGCCACGTCAGCAATAGAAGTTCAGAGACAACAATCGGAGTTTGAGGAATCGTTCCGACGAAGATAGAAAAGCAAAATATGTTTGCTTTGCCAGCAGTTCAGCCAGCAAAAAAGGTCCTTGGACCGACCCATCAAGTCTATCAAACTTCCCCCACAAGCTGCAAGCGAGAAACACATTGGCCTGCTCCTCACGCAAGACTTGTTGCCAGAAGCACCCGAGAGGGATGGACCCTTCAGCTAGTTTTGAAGACACGACTCTCAGCCTTGACTCTCAGCGATCGCCTGCCTTGTAATTCCCTCATGAGGGTACTCAAAAATTGGACTGCAAAAGGGGCGGACTACGTTTATCCACCATACACCTGACAAAAAGGTCTCAGAAGTTGCTTTTCGTGTGCCTTGTCCGGGCATTGCAATGCAACATGTAGAAGCCGCCATTCACCTCGCCACAGCGCAGCTCAGGTATCACCTGGCGAGACGAAGGTGTGAACGATGTGAAGGGACACCACTTGGGGTGCATCTCTCAGGACATGGATAAAATACAGGTAGTGATCGAATGATCGAATTTACCACCTACAGTGGCCTACAGGATTTGTGCTTCAATCCCAATCAAAACAGCGGCATCCATACAAAGTTGCCCGAAGGCCGCCTCTGTGCGTTCGCGCATAAAGAGCATATCCAGCCCTTCCTCCTGCAGAGCAAAGGATTTGGCGATGGAGTCCGTTGCTAGGGCCCACCATAGAGCCCATTCATTCTCAACATGCAGTTGGTGGTCGCAATGACGCCTCAAGTCCTCAAGTTTTTCTCAACGATCTGCTCTTCTTGGCTGTCCTTCATCCATTCCAGCCACTCCATCTGCAAATGCCTTGCCACTGAGCTGCTGGCAATGGACACTTGCTGCATTGGGCAAACTGTGTGTACAAATGCTCAAATACACTGTCCACTTGGGTAAACTGCACTCTCCGAGCCACCTGCATGAAGTTTGGGAAGAACTGAATGTCGGTGTCCTTTCAAGCTGGAAGCTCCAATCGCAATGGCTTGCATCTCTTGGCAAAGCTCACATCAAAAATCGAGAGAGGCACCGTGTGAATGAAGTACTCGCCCATGTGGGTTTCTATCCAATTCACCACCTGCGAATGCTGGCAAGCGAAAACCAGCGTATAAAGGGATTTTTTGGGGGCAGCCGGCTATGGTCCTGCAGTGTCACCTTGCGAATTTCAAGGCCTGTCACTACTGACATTGCGTAGTTTTCCACCTGTGGTAGTGGTACTCTGCCAGAACTCTTGAGTTTCTTGCCTGTTGTTGTCTGTTAAATCCCCATTTTTGCTGCAAAATCAATATGTTTTGTTTAAATTCAAAATGATCAAAATGTTTTTTTCGGTAAATCATGGTAAATCATGGTAAATCCACAATTGTTTGTTGGTTAATGTTGGTTAAATCAGGTGAAATCCCATCAAGAATCCCCACGTGCCTCCCGCAGCTGGCCATCAATCGCCCTTCTCCAGGACTCGGTGCAGTAGCCGTGGGGCTCCGGCAACGGCCCCAGGTCCACCACGTGGATCTGGTGCCTGAGGTCATCAGCGGTTCAACCCTATGGCCCTATGGAAACCCAATGGAAACCCAATGGATGCACAGTTCTCCAAGCGGATTTTTTTGGCTGGAAAAATGATGATTCAATGATGATTCAATGGATTTCTTTCTGTTTCAAGCCTTGAAAATTTGGGAAGCTGATGATTTGCAGCCATGCCCGGATTATTAAGTGGGGGAAATGGTAAAGCATCATCAAAACCATGGGGAGAAAAGACAAATTCTGCGCAAAGGCAAAGGCAAGAGACTTTCTGTTCTGTGGGTGAAATGTTTCAAGTCTGGCACTCCCACAGGCTCGTTTACGAGCACAAGGAGTCTAGTGAAACTGCTTCTCCTCTGTCAGTTTGGACACTAAAACACAAAGGATGCTGTTTAACCTGTGCTTCAGACCCAAGGCGAGAAGCTGCTCTACACTCTACAAATGAAAAGTGTACATAATGCAAAGGAACTGCCACTGACAGCAATGCCGATAAGGCACGGAGAGAGGAAATTCAAGGAATATCTTTCACTTCTTTCTGAAAGTCCCTGGTTTCCATGCAGAAAAAAAACACGAATTCAATCAGTGCATACTCTCCGAGACGGACAAAGCCGCAGTCTTCTGGATGTACCTCACCAGCTGGCAAGAATCCTCTGGATCAAAGGGAGGTCATCTGAATCAATCATCCTGCAGCATCCTGGTCACTGAACTCTGCAAACATGTGTAGAGTCTGAGCTCATTGTTGCTCTACAGACTCTACAAATAATCCACAACAATTTGGGAATCTCAGGCACAGCGGGTCTCCCCGAGTCTCCCCGCCTCAGATCTGGCTCCAGCAATCTTTTTGTCATCCAGTCCTAAGCTGCCGGCACACTAGCCTTGGGATTAGTGGGGTATGGTCATCTCACCATTGCTGGATTTCCTTATAAGTGTTGGTAGCATGAATTCCCGTTAAAGCATGGATGACCTTCCCCAATTTGGACAATTTACCCAAGTCTTGACCCAAGTCTTGACCATGGCACATACACTAGCACTGATTCCAACCATCGATCACCCTGAGATCCCTGCGGAGGTCTTGGCATGGATCAGCTGTGGCAGTTTGGACACGAAATCCAGCGCCTACCAAGCAAAAAGAGATGAAATTCACATGATCGACCCCAATGTGGAATTATAAAAACGGAATCACAAATGACACAACAACTTGCATTTTACGTGTATACAGTCTATACAGTGTCTACAGTGTATACAGTATGTGTATACAACGCCTGGGCCCATTCCCAATCAAAGGTTGTTGCAACTCTGCATTCTGTTGGGAAGATCAACAAAGATCAACAAAAGTACTAGGGAATACTAAAATCCCACCCCCGTTAAATTCTACATTCAGTTGGGAAGATCAACAAAGGTATTGGGGAAGATTAAAATCCTACCCCCGTTAAACTTTACATTCAATTGGGAAGATCAACAAAGTTATTAGGGAATATTATATTAAAGTCCCACCCCCGTTAAACTTTACATTCAATTGGGAAGATCAACAAAGTTATTAGGGAATATTATATTAAAGTCCCACCACCGTTAAACTTTACATTCAATTGGGAAGATCAACAAAGTTATTAGGGAATATGAAAGTCCCACCACTGTTAAATTAACGTTCATTGAAGATCTTCAATAAGGGTTTAATTCTCCCACCCCCGTTAAATTTCTACATTCATTGAAGATTTTCAAAAAGGGTTTAATTCTCCCACCCCCGTTAAATTTCTACATTCATTGAAGATTTTCAAAAAGGGTTCAATTCTCCCACCCCCGTTAAACTTCTACATTCATTGAAGATTTTCAATTAGGGTTTAATTCTCCCACCCCCGTTAAACTTCTACGTTCATTGAAGATCTTCAACGAAGGTTTAAATCTCCCACCCCCGTTAAACTGCTACATTCATTGAAGATCATCGAGAAGGGTTTAATTCTCCCACCCCGGTTAAACTTCTACATTCATTGAAGATCTTCGAGAAGGGTTTAAGTCTCCCACCCCTGTTAAACTTCTACATTCATTGAAGATCTTCTAAGGGTTTGGTGATGGTGATGATGATGATGATGAGGATGATGAGGATGATTATGATGATGATGATGAGGATGATGAGGATGATGATGATGATGATGATGAGGATGATGATGATGATGATGAGGATGATGATGATGATGAGGATAATGATGATGATGATGATGATGATGATGATTATGATGATGATGATGATGATGATGAGGATGAGGATGATGAGGATGATGATGATGATGAGGATGATGATGATGATGATGATGAAGATGATGATGATGATGATGATGAGGATGAGGATGATGATGATGATGATGATGATGATGATAAGGATAATGATGATGATGATGATGATGATGAGGATGAGGATGAGGATGATGATGATGATGATGAGGATGATGATGATGATGATGATGAGGATGAGGATGATGAGGATGATGAGGATGATGAGGATGATGATGATGATGATGATGGTGATGATGATGGTGATGGTGATGATGATGCGTTGCCTGTCGTGGTTGCGGTTCCGGGCAAAGCCAAGGCATTTGCCGCATATATACATCCTCTATTACGGCAGTCTAGGCGTCAAAAAGTAATTCCCATTCCACCCATCAAACCGGGCCTCACGAGCTGCCAAGGTCGCCGCATGGAATCTCTTGAGATGCTTCATGAACTGAGGATTCTCCTTGAGCTGCGGGTTGAGCCGCTGCTCTGGAATCTTCATGACCTGTTGGATCAAGGATCAGTTTTTGATCAAAACGCTGCAGTTTTTGATCACTCAAAGTTGACACTTGGCATAGGGTTCCCAAATTTCATGGACCAAGTGCACTTTTGGCAATAACTTATCTTCAAATGCAACTATTGACCTATTGAAATCTAGAGTCATCGGCATATCGAGTTGAACAGTCGGGTAGATCAACTCAGGCAATGGCATATATTCGAAGTTCCAAGTATTCCTCAGCTGTTGGCGTTCCTAAAAGGAAGTCATAGGTCTTCTACAAACACAAAAACAAAGTTCAGACACTTGCAAAAGCTCAAACTTGTAGGTCAGCACAAACTATTTTGCACCAATAAAAACCATCTGAGAGTCGTAGATCAAATGCTTGGCCAGTTGGAGCCACTCTTCGGTGCCTCACTTCTTGCTGCACAGCATTGGTATTACCCTTCCATCAGTCCTATGTTTAAAGAAAACTCTGCTTGGATGGGAGCAAACAAACACTTCCAATCACTGGAAGGATATAACCAACGGCGGGTATCCACTTCCTCAATGACATCTTTTCAATCCTTTTCACACAACCTTCGGGGTGGTGCGAGCTTTCCTGCAAAAAACCATGCAGCCCAGGCACATTTGGACTCATAGAAAATGCATGCTTCCGCAAGTGGAATCACATCCGTTGGGAACTTTTCCACTGCAGTTTCAGGAAATAACCTTGGCAGTGAATAACACCAGTAATTGGTACGGTATGAACACCGCCAAAATTGAACACTTGCAAGCAAGCGACTTGTTAGTAAACTGCTCCTCAGTAACAAGGCTTTGCCAAGAGCATCGGAAAGGAGCACTCACAACAGGTCAAGGATGAAGAAAGCACTTTGTCATTGCTGCTGCAAGGAGTGATGTTACATGTTCTTTTGTCATATCTCCATCCACCTACAAGGACCATTCACTCACAGACATGCGACCACAAAGACCTGAAAAACACGCACAGCAAGTCGCAAGACCTTTGAATGCGAATGCCAAATCCGCATGGCCTCTCCCCCAAACCCCTTTTTGACACCACTGTGCGTGCCAAGGTTCAACCACCTCAGCAGCCAGGGAAGGAACCCACCGACATGGCATGGATTGATGGCAAATGGTAAAGGGAACTCCAACATGGCGATAAAAGGAAGTCCTGTTTAGACATATACGTATATATATATACATAGTAACCAATATTTTGTGTGTTTTTCTTGTGAGTTCAACATTCAACCATAGCAAATATGCATTTGCATTCACGACCTCAGGACCTCTGCAACAAAGACACGTGGACAAACTCATTCTCCAAGCGCTGCTTCGCGTCGATGTCATGCCGCCTTGGATGACTCATCATCAAATTCATTAAATCTGACGCAAGGAAATATCTGGATACATGGCAGATGGATGCAGATGGTATAAAGTTGAATTGTCCAGAGATGCTGAGAAAGGCACTCCTCTGCTTGAGTCAGCTCCATTTCCACAGAAATGATTTGCTCCACTTGCTCGAAGACCTGCTATCTTGAAACCCTTTCAGTCCCCTTTCAATCTGATCCTCCATACTTCGGTGAATAGAAACTGCAAATTCTAAAATGTCTCCATGACCCACCAATCAAAGTACTTCCAGGGTTTTACCTCAAGATATGTTCGGTCTTTTGGCAGCCTTCAAACGTCTCTACTGTCCAAACTTGTTCTCTCAGTGAGTCGAACCAACTGTTTCCCAACTGACTGGCCGCAGTTCATCGATGGCCTTTGTCATAATCTCGTGCCGTGCTTTGACGAACTTCTCCTGTCAGGAAACCACATCTTTGCATGGAATGACACCACCAGTGTCTCCAAATGACACCCTGGCTTTGCATGCCCACAAAAAAGTCGAGCTTCTCAGCGAAATACTGGAACCATGTCTATCTTCCCCACCCAACCTTCACCACTAGAATTGCATCTCAAAAAGAGTTTCTAACCTCTTCCACTGCACCATGTTCAACCCATGGCGTCCTCAAAATCGACCCACAGCTTGTCGAAGAGCTGAATATCCTCCTTGAGCTCTGCTTTGAAGCGTGGCAGCCCCGGGGCAAAGTCGTCCTTTAGCCTTGGCTCGATCTCACTGGCGATCTTCGTCATGGTGGTGTCCACTTCCCTCAAGAAGGCATCCTCAGTCACAACTTCGCACTACTGCACTACCAGGTACCATCTCTAGGGATAAGAAATGGTCTGCTCAAAAATGCGCAAAGTATGAATCAAACAAACAGAAGCCCAAGAAGCTAAGCGCCTGGTGCTTTTTTGACACTCACCTCATTTGTTCACTTAGCCAGGCACCGCTAGATCCTTCACGGAAGGGTCATAGGTGTGCAGTTCTCCGTTAAATGTCCTTGGAAGGCAAAATCAAGTAAAGTGGAATGAAGTGGGACAGATTTGATAAACACCCTTTCTCACCCTCAACCACTGGCCCTTTACACCAACACCAACTGGAATTGAAGCTTTCATTAGAGTCAGACGGCAACCACCAAGAACTGTTGGAAGGGCAGACTTTGAATCATTTGCAGCGAGGTACAAACCCGGCTTATCCTTTGCAGTTCTGGCCTCCCACGGGCAGATTTTGGGGCACGCCCGCATTTTCATGTGGGACACTGCCATCTGAATGGAAACCACTGATCTGCCATCACAGACACTGGCCTCTCTGATGACATTCACGTCAAAACCAGTTGGGAAGAACTGCGGAGTCGGTGACAGGTACCTCCGCAGCAACAGTGACAGGCAACTTTGAACACCGAGAGGTTCTGTTTGATATTGTGCTTGTCAGCAGAGGGTTTCTGAGCAGCCCGCCGGTGGAAATAGTTAAATCGATAGTCCTGGCAGGCTTGCTCATAGACTCACCAGCAATATCACAAACTTTTATCTCATTGCCAATTCCCGAAAAACATGGTCAAATGATCAAATTAATTCAAACAATATATATATATATATAATTATTATTATTATTATTATTATTATCTTTTGCAAAAATCACTGGTGGTACAGGCGAGCATCTTGAAACAGAATATTCAGAATATCTGATGACCATCATGGCTGCCATTTTCAACTATGCAGCTCCTTGTTGGAGTGAACGCCTAAGAAATCTGCCAGAAGGCCCACCATGTTGAAAAACCGCGCCACCTGTGCGGTTTGGCGGAGAAGTGACAACAGCTTCAGCAGCCGCGAATTTCTGCTTTGTTGATCTCAGAAATCCCTGCCTTTTTGTACGCGAAATCATCCAGGGGATCTTCATGAACGAAGGGTAAACTTTCCTGAATTTCTTTGCATTCCTGCAAGGATGTGTGACACTGCATGGAACATGGAGCAAACGAAGTGGAAGCCGTGACAAAAGCATCCGTTGGGCCTGAAGTAGGCAGAACTCACGAGTGCCTTTAAAACGCACCACGTCTGGAGTGCCGGTCAGCTTCGCCTTCTTCTTTCCCTGTCCAAGTGCAGCTGAAGTTTCGAGATCATGGATTTCTATGGGCAGTTGATGTCATTGGAGCCTTCTTTCCCATCTTGCACCTGAAAAACCTGAGCCACCAAGTGCTCCAAGTCAAAACAACAACTCAGAAAAAACAAGATAATGACACCATATTCCCATGGAGGGATCATTGTCCGGAAAAAGAACACACCTACCACTTCATTAAGATGTGCTGAAAGACCTCTCAAGGGATCAAGCGGCTGGCCCATTGCCACCGGCTGAGCCGAGAATAGCAACGGAAAAAAGAAACGAGAGCTGAAGAAATGAATCAGTTCTGGATCTCGCCCCACCCAATGACATTGATCATTCAACATATTCAACACCACTGCCAGGCACTCAAATAACTTATGTAGATCATTGCGAACAGTCAATCCAACTGCAATTTTTCAAATGTTGACCCCTTTAACCTGTGCAAACAAGTGCTGCCGCCTCGGATAGCCAAGCGTTCGCAAAGATGACCTTGCAATTCCACTCTGTTCCAATTGACCGCTTCATCTCTGAAAAATGGCATGACCTGAGGACAAGGCTGCCAGAAAGAGAACACCTCCTTGTAGTTCTCAGAAGTCACCTGGCAAATTGTGGAGATCAGACATAATTTTGGTCAGTTCAGTAGGTGGACTGGGATGAACGAGTAACTGGAGGATTCGTTCATGTTTTGATGTTTCAGTTCACTATGTCACAAATGTTTGATGTCAAATGCGTTCAGACAGGCACTACAAATTTGTGATACCCTAGGTGTTGCTTGAAAACTCCGGCAAAGGGTTGGTGCAACAAATTATGTGTCAATTTGCGAGGTTTAACACTTCATACCAAAAAGGTATTTTTTTCAACATTCAATCTCTGCAGGAAGGCTGGATTTCGGAGTCTGGGCAGCAATGTTGTTGGTGACAATCTGCATTTCGGTATCACCACTAAATACTCAAATTTTACCCATAAACATGTCTCTTTTAACAACGCAGAAACCACAAATTCGTTCTCCGTCGTTTCATGAAACACAACCGTATTCACTGCGATACCCCAATATTTTTTGGGAAAATCACTATGTCCGAAGAAATGGTTACTGTATATAATCAATCATGATCAAGTCTGCATATTGTATTGTATAAGTGTGCAACATGATCACAATCCCACCAGCAACAACAAATTGAAATTTCAAAACCGATCAACAAACAATGCCTTTCCAAACACTGCCAGCAAAGCCGCTAGAACAGGAAGAATGTCGCCTGTACACGCAGGTCAAACAAAGCACCATTTGCATTTGCTGGTGCCAATTTGCTTGCAAATCTGTGTATTCACAAGCAATCATACCCCATTGACCCTTCCTCCAGCCGGCTCCGCCATCCACTCCACCACTTCATCCGTCTCCGCCTGTGGTTCGCTCACCCATGAATTTTCAGCTATGGTCAATCTGCACCACAACACGACCAAGGCCCACGCATCGAACTCACCATCCATGGCTAACAATCACATATTGGAAAACCACATGTTTTTTTTGTTGCAGTTTGCGGGAATTTGGATTTTTTTGAGTTGTTGGTCAACAAATCCACCAGCATGCACCATAAATTTCCCCCACATTGCGAAGATTGGATGGAAAATGTCAAAAACACCCAAGCCCCCGGGCAAAACATTTTTTGCACGCACTGTTTCATTTTTTTCCGGACCATCTGGATCAAATCACGCGCGGTTTTCCAATTCGATCTGTCCATATGTATGTATTAAGAGTTGATAGATTATTGATTGAATAAGGGCGCGTGTTATTTTTACACAGAAAATGGAATCATGTTCTGACAGCGACATCGGAAACAAACCAACCAAGAATGGAAAAAAACGTTGTTGCAACCTGCATTCCCATTGGCCCCACAGCACCTTGAACAATAAAATGTTGCTGGACATGGTTGTTCTCAGGAAATTCCGTATTTTCAAAGCACAAAGAACCAATCCCCAAAATTTCATCTCAAAGGTGCGGTTAACAATTTCACTTCAAGGGAATCCTTTGCTGTGAATCCCCCTTGTCACATCTTGTGGTGAAATCTTCTGGTTGATCGTCTCTTGTGAAATGTGTTCGTTTCATCTCGGTTCAACATTCACTATTCGGACTTGTTTGAATGCAAACGGAAAGGAACAGAGACACAATTACACTGTGTGAAACGCTTTGGTTCAAAAATTGAAATCATGTGACGATCATTTTGGTTTTGCAATCAATAGCGGCAGCCGTATGCAGACAGTCGTTTTTGTTCTGCGAACTTTTCTGGAACCGAAAACGCCTCAGAATTGATCTTGCTATACACTACTCGATTTGTGCTGTGACATGTGCACAACTGCATGACTGACATGCCTATGCACACAACTGCAAATGCGGAAATGTGTTTCACCCCCCCTTGATACCACAATTTTCTAGGTATCACTATGGCACTATGGCACAGGTTCCGCACGCCATATGTTCGGCCATCGTCTCTCATCTATTGGAACCAGTTCAAAAGAGAAAACTTCCATTGTGAAAAGTTGGCACTGGAGCCTCTGCTTGGGACTCATCCCCAAACCAGTGACTCACTTCTGTGGTGCCATGCGCCACTCAGAACTCCCATCACCACTCTCATCTCGATGTCCATCTGGTGGGGAATCATCACTTCTAAATCCCTAGTGGACCAAGGCCTAAAAGTCGGGATTTGACACCGAGTTTTCTCCGAGTTAATCTCCACAGGCATACCGAGAAACCAGCCAGCCCCAAATTTTTGCTCACGCGAGCTGTGCGGCTGTTGAGGGCAGCGACAATTCGCCCGGCACATGCGAAACCACCGCATCCTACGTGGACCATGGCTGTGCAGCAAGTGCTCAGGTGCTACCACCCACAAGGCAAGATCCTACTGTTTAAAGCTTGTTATCCGGAGCTTGTGAGGCTCCCGATTCCAGGGGGCACTCGACGAGTTGACGTCGTGGGCTTCTCGGCAGGCTCGTACTCTGGACTCGCCTTGCACTTCAGTGCTAAGTGAATTTGTTTTGGGTTCCTTTGATTCTTTTGGGTTCCTTTGATTCCTTTTGATTCTTTTGATTCTCTTGATTCCTTTGATTCCTTTGTTTCCTTTGATTCATTTGAATTTGATTCCTTTGCTTCCTTTGATTCCTTTGATGCCTTTGATTCCAATGATTCCTCCTTTGATGCCTTTGCTTCCTTTGATTCCTTTGAGTCCTTTTGAGTCCTTTGATTCTCTTGGGTTCCTTTGATTCCTTTTGATTCTTTTGATTCCTTTGATTCCTTTGCTTCCTTTGATTCAGGTCATTGCTGGAGCTCCCAACGAAGTCATTGGTGCCCTGCCTCAAGACGACGAGTGCCACTCCCAGGATGCCTGTGGGTTGAATGCTCTACAGCTCCGTTCCAAGCCACTGCCCCCGCCAACAAACGAAACCTTCAACAGAGTCAACGGCACGGCTGTCTCCGTGAACGGCACCAAGAAGAAGTCCCGCTGCTACGACCTCGGAATTGATCCAACATGCTGCCAGGACTTTTCTATCTCATCGTGGAATTATTATACAGCCGACGCCAAATATCGTGCGTGCCTCAATGCAAGGCTGGGGTGCAATCCCACCCCCGTTGCCACATATACTGGCAGCTACCAACGTAAATATTACGCCTTTCATTGCATGGCTGCTATCGCGGCACCACCTGAACTTATGCGGCTTGCCACTGGAGAACGCAGTGTAACGCTCATCCACTGCCTTGAAGATCGGCTGTGTGTCTGGAAGCCCCCTTCCATGACAGAGCTCAACTACAACATGGTCCTGATTGAAGGCAATCCCTTCTGGAGTGGCCGAGCTCCGCATGCTCACGGCCATTTGTTATTTACACAACTTGACGAAGGTCTGCATCACATCGATCAACTGCAAATCCTACGACCAAATGTTATCCCGCATGGAGTTCGATGTGAAGGACTCCTTCGCGTCCTCTCGTGGGTCAGCTTTGATCTCCCTGCACAGCTCAAGCGCACCCTTAGTGCATTATTGCAAGCAGCTGGCACATGACATCGAAATAGAATGTAGGGACGTCAGAGACCCCCCCCATTGAGTCGGAGCAAGCCTTGCAGAGTATATTGATCGGCATGATCCGTACACCGGGGGGCCAAAATGACGAGGGCGGCCAAAC